ATTTTATGCACCCCTTACAAGAACGCACGCATCCCATCGTGATTTTAATCTACCCTGTTCATCTTTTCTACCTCATTCCAGCAATCTCTTGTGAATAACACATTGGCTTTGGAAAATAACACAGTCCGGAATGAAAGACACTTCAAGTCCCAACAGCGTTCAATCAGGGAATAACGAAACTTTGACTACAAACCATTTACACGAAGTGGCCCACTATCCGGGGGGTTTTCCTTCAATTGAAATGAAACAGGCCCTATTGAATCCTGTTGCTCTTTCAATGATGTCCAATCTATTTTCCGGTCTATCAACTTTGCGTCCAGATGGAGGCGGAGATAAGCTTCAATCTAACAGTGATTCTCAGGCCAGCGAGTCCCAGATTGATGAAGACAGCGCTGTTTGCGACAAAGGTCTGTCGCTTCAAAAAACAGCGGCTGCTACGGTCACAGACACCTCACCAATGCCTGCGACGTCTCTCCCTTTTGACTCAACTGGTTACACAGCAGGCTTACCCCTGGGGCCCTCAATGCACACCATACAGATGGCGTCGGCTACAAATGGTATGTCATGCACCACTCCTCAGATTCCCAATCCGTTTATGTTGAACAGTGCTACCGAAGAGCAAAATGCTTCCACTAAAAGCGCGCAAAATATAACGGCGTCATTTCTATTGAACGAACAAATGTCCGTACCCCCCGGTGAATATGGGAGCCACGCAGCATTGGATATAAAGAAACGGCAAAATACTTACAAACAGATTAACCAATTTTTCAATGGTTCTTCGCTGGATGCAACGACTCTTACGGGGTTGAGTTCCGAACCCAGAGGTAGAACCAACATTTCTGCAGCCAATTCTGGCTCACATATGGATTTTTCGTTGAGCACTCCAACAAAGTCTGATGAAGACTTTTGTGAACTATGTCAAAAGCACTTTTGCAACAAGTACTACTTACGTAAGCACAAAGCTGACGTACACGGAATTCACACAGAACCCTATTCACACAGTCGCAAACGTGACACTTCGGGGCAAACAGCCGTTTTCCCAGGATACAAAGGTATACATTCAAGTCAGCACAGCACTAACAATTTACATAATATCCAGCAATTGGCTGAGGATAGGTTGTCTATAATGATGGATCCCCAAGTACTACCAAAGGGCATGTTTCAGTCGGCATCAAACGACAGACAAGAAATTGAGAGAAAATTCGGACAACAAGCTTGTTCAAACGATCAAAACTCAAATGTCATGAATCCCGTGAGCACGCTTGTCGGTTTGAATCCATTAACTAGTACTCTGAATTCAGAATACACTCAACCCAAACATTATTCGTCATCTCTCTCACCCACAAACTTTCAGGTCAGTCCATCGAATGACGTTTTGACTTCAAACAACTCGTCAACTGCAGTTCACCCAATGTTATCAGCTCATTATTATATGATGGCTTTGGCCAATTCTCTCCCGTTCAACAGAGGAACCATCGTTCAAAATGGCACTATGGGGGAAAACAATTCGAATGATGCTGAGAATAAGTTCAGGCAAAATTTTGCAGGGATGCCGTTTATGCCTGCTGGAAGTATTGATCCAGGAAAAGCGGATATTTATGAAGTTCAATGCGATCAGTGCCAGAAGGTTTTCTGCAGTCAGTATTTTCTTCAAATTCATAAGATCAACCAACACAGCTGCACTGGGCTTGACACATCAGCACCTTCAATGGCATCGCCAAATGATCCAGGTTACAGTTTTCAAGATACTATTGATAGGCAGGACTCAGGGAGTTCCGTGGCTAGCAACGTACAAGAAAAGTCATCTTGCTCGTCACCGGGATTTTCGTCACAGCCAAATGTCGCCAATCAAAACTCTGGTGGTACGCGAGGCAATTCATCCCGTGCATCATCTGAGAGTAAGCAACCAGTGAACTCACTGGATGCATTCCGTAGTAGTATGGTGGCGGCCAAACTTGCCGATCGAGTCACTTGCGAACTTTGCAAAAAGGAATTGTGCAACAAGTATTTCCTCCGCACACACAAAATACGAGTACATGGAATCTCCCCAAAAGATGTTGGCGGACCACCAATGCGCAATCCGCCGCAGGTCAACAGCACGGTAGCTCAAACTGGTTGTACTGGAAGCCCCATATCGCATTCATCTGGTAGTCGTTCTCCGCAAAACTCAAAATCAAGCCAAGTGAACAGTGCCTCACAAAAGGTGCAGCCCTCTTCATTGTTTGACACATCAAATAACCTAATGGCTAGTTTCTCACTGAATTCCATGTTTCCGGCGAACCCTGAAAATGCATACCCAGCTGTCGGACTTCCTGTACCCGTTCAGCCAAACGAAGGCGGCCCGTTGGCTGGTGATAATTCACTCTACAAGCCTGGATTTCCATTTGGACTGGACTCGAATTGTCTGTCAGCAAAAAATGAAGCCAAAACATGGGCAAAGTTTTTCATTGAGAGCAGTCAACTGGCTTTTCCAACAAGTGCTGATCCACAGGAAGCCTACTCAGCGATAAGTATGATAAGCTGTCCCATATGTGAACAACCCATCGGACCACGTCTGTTCTTACCTTCACATTTGAGCGATGCGCATGGTTTGAATCCAATCGATCCAGCTTTCTTTCTGAATATATTACGTGCAAAAACTATCCAACAGCCTGGTCTCCAGACATCTGACATAGAGTCAGCTAGGTCACACACTCAGATAACATCGGCGAGGAATACGTCAGAAGACGGTAAAAAGGATGGTAGTATGCCCGTTTTAACTCAAGAAGAAAAAGTGCATGAGGACAGCGCTATGAATAAAAGTGCTCCATCTGGTGTGAATGATTTCTCAACATATTCAGAGCGCACTATATCCACAAACTCAATCCGTCAAAAGGCATGCAGTCAATCTGATTCGGCAAGACAAAACTTTCAAACAGTATCCTGTCAGGAAAAAGGTATGCATTACTATAAATCGCATTCATTCGGATGACGGTTTCTGTCTCAAGGGTGTAAAAGCACCTGTTAAAAAGTTACTAATCTGAGTTTAACTGTGAAAGGCATTGGCCTACATTTGGTCACTTGCAACTGCCTCTAGCGTGCTTTGTATGCATGTGATAATGTGTGGTTTCATTACCAACCGAAATTCATACAAGAAGGTAGCACCGCTTGAACTTTGAGAATTCTTGGAGTGAGCAGGGCTTTTGGCAGGTTCTTCTTGCCGGAAGAAATATTACAAAATCGGGCCCATTGCTAGTGTGGTCAGAAGCTATCAGCTCATCGGCTACATGCAAGCATAACTACTGGTGGGATGACAGAAATTTTTCGCGAATTTTACATTACTGTTATAAATGGCGAACTTCCAGAGAAATACCGAATAATATGTCAGGGACTATTGCACTGGCGTTCCGCAATCTGGTTATACTTTTAAACAGCCCGGTCACTCATTGCTTTCTTGAACGGAACTCGTCTCCTGGATGCAACAAAATAATATTTTATTCAGGGAACCTGTTTTTCAAAGGATTAGCGTGATGGCGTTGGAAAAACCCATGGCTGTTGCAGTAAGCAGATAAAGCTCACTTTCGTTTGCACGAATAGAAAGAAAAGCCTAGATTGAAGTAAGCTACTAAAAATGGCCTAAATATGACAGCTTGCGTACTGAAAAAATAATTTTTAAATATTGTTTGGGTAAGGTCTCTGTGACTAATAAAAAACGAACTAAATTAAAAGCGTTCGGCATCTCACTCTCCGAACTGATCACTCCTTTATGTTGAACTTCTCATCAACAGCCAGACACAGCCTTCAAGGGATGAGTCGCCACTTCACCACCGACAAAATCTAACGCAGCTTTGACTGCGCTAAACAACTCTTCTTTGGAAATAGGGAGTAATCGGAGAGGTGCGGAATAGCATAGCAGTTTTCTATACCGATGCGCCCTCAGTGATGATTTCCAGCCAGCCTGGTCAGCGGACAATGTGGCTAGTTTTTACTCCAATTTTGCAATGTTTCAGAATTTGTGAAGCAAGAGTAGATTTATACAGGCTAGGGTTACATTTTGCTAGACTGTTTTGCGATACACCGTCTGGCTTTGAACATCAATGAAGGGTTTTGATGCATCCCTCAGTCAAGCTGTCTGGGTAGTTGCCAAAGGATTTAAAAAAATTCTTTGGATGGTCCAAAGAAGAACCTGGAGCCTCCTAATTAAAAATATGGGGAGAAAGCAAATTTCGGTTCAAACCCAAAATACCGTAAACCTGTCAGTGTATCCTAATCGGGTAACGAAACTTCTCTGCATTTTTAGGCTTCCTGTTGAGCTATTCTGAGAACTTTTCCGGACCACCTTGGTCTTAAGGAGAAGATATACATTCCAGCTTCAAAAAGGGATGCCTAAATTTTTGACAAAATACCTATTTTTAAAGACCAAAAGTACGAGGCTTGATTACAGACCTGTTTTTCAAAACTGAGTTTGGTCGATGTGTGGTGAAGCATGTGTACCCAAAAGCACCAATCTGGTCGGTTGGTCAGTGAGATTTTACTCCCGGGAACATAAAGGATATTTCCCCGAAAGTTTTAAATCGTGACCGACTTGCTACGTAAAGGAGCACGGAGTGGAGAAGCCGTAAAATTTTGACATTTTGAACACCGTTATGGTGTACAGAGGCAGACAGCCGTAGCACGCACATGCCGTTGGATAGTGAACAAGAACAGCAATGGTATGTCTCGATTCAGTGGGGGCTGGTCTCACAACCGCCACGATGGGAGAGCGTTACAGTTGTTTCAACGGAAAGAAGACCTTAAAAAATTATGACCGAAAGGCGTCTTGGCAATGTGCTGAGATTTTAATTGAATAAACCGCAAACATTTCGGACCTTTGCATTAGCACGTTACGTTTTGACCACAAAAATACACGTCCATAGTTGAATGAAGGTAACAACGACTAGTTTGGCTGGATTATTCGCAGAATTTATTAACTAAATGGCCGACAACATGTCTTGCCTCGTAGACAGCGCGAAAGGCCTTAAATGATTCGTGAGAGAAGGCGTTGTCCATCGTGGAAACCAAAAACAGGAAACTTTCTGAAGGGGCATGGGGAAAAGAAAGTCTACCTCAAACATGCAGGTGCATAATGAAGTTAAGTTGCACGAACTTATTTTGTATCTGAATAGATGCGTGTTGCCCCTGTGTATTGATAAATTTTTCAACCGAGGACGCGAGGCATGAGCAGGCCGTACTTGAGTTCTCCCCATTCAACAATATTGTGTGCCATCTGTTCAGATTTTAAGCACGGATTTGTCGTGTTTGTTGTTCAGGCACAGCTGTAGGCATGTGTATGTTGGAAATTCCCCGAGTCATATGAACACGCAACACTTGCAACTTCATTCATCTGTTTTGTTTAGTTCCTGTTATATTTAACGCCGAATGAACGATCACTGATGCATGCATTATAAACCGGACAACGCATCAATAGAGCGTTGGAATTTTCCGAACGCCTCAAGGCATTGCAAAAGTTCTCGGCATCTTTTGGTCACACCTAATCCTAATAAATCGATTATGAAATTATGGTTTTACATAACACTGTAGACGTTCAAACCTGGTACAATTCTGGTCCATCTGCCATGTAGTACTGGTCTAGTGCAACTATCAGATTTGGACAGCGGCTCTAAACTATCGAAAGAATGTGCCAACTATGTGGCAGATTTGGAACCAACAGAACATAACTTGAAATCGGTCGTCCAGTTTACGAGACCTGACGTCCTTCCTATCGGACGTCATCCTTAAAATGGAAACACTCTCCAAAAGAAACCATTGAAGTGACCTCTTGTAGTGGGATTTTCATCCAGATGGCGATTTAGCCACCAGGATTTGAGACAATCATAGTTAATCATAAACCTGGAAGAAACCAAAAGCATCTTGCGGTGCGGCATGCTGATCCTCTCTGAAGCTGAACTATAAATTCAGGTTCCATAGACCGAACCAGACTGTAATACGGCCGGATCATTAACAACCATGGGAATGGTACGATAATATATATATGCTGTACTGCTGACCCACAATTTGGGTAAACCACGAGGTGTATAGTCAGTTACCGCGAGCAGATGTGTTTAAATTCGGTGGCTGAGATGTTATAGCGGAGACTGAACAGTCGGTCCCCACAATCACATATCGTGACTTTATCGGAACGATAGTGGGCACGCACGTAATGGTCGTCACCTTTGATCCATGAAATGAGACATGGCGAGTTTTTTCTTGCTAGGTTGGCAGGGTGGATCCACGAAACCCGAAGGGAGGATGACATACGATGTCACGCAAGCCCGCATCGAATGTCTTGTTTAGTCCTTTTGTCGGTAGGCAACAGTTCGCTACTTTGTTTTGCGAGGAAACTCGTTCGTGGTATAACCCTGTGGGGTTACTGACTGAACCTTGCCTAAAAGCGAGTGATGAGTGCGGGGAGTGGTAAATTCCGCGGTGCCGACTGTTCCCATGGCGTAGGCTTTCTTCCCCATGATTTTTACTTTCGTGTCATTATTTCCGCTTCTGTTAACCCGTTAACGTGTACACAGATGCTTCCTAAAAATGAAGGGGCATCCCTTAATGTCATAGGTTAACTTGGGCGTGGCAACCGACAGACGACAGTCGTGTTTATGGAACACTCTTCATATGATTCATTTCTGTCGTGGGTTTTGGGTAAAATGACTTTCGAAGTTGAGCTTGTGGATGGTTTATTTGGAACCTACAGAGTAGCTTTTTGATGACCTCTGGCGAACAGTCAGTAAGCCTAAGGTACTTATGGCTTTGTGGTCGTGCTTCTTGCTAAAATGTTCACGCGTAAGAGGTTGCGCAAGCGGAAATCACTCGAATAAATATGGTTCCATATTTCACAGCCTTGGAACACTTGAAACTTCATCTAAACATTCAGCCCACTTTTTCTGAGTTACGCAGTGTAAACCAGCACTTGGCACCTGTCCCTATGACTTAACATCTCTATTAATTGTAACTTTCTGCAGGCAAATCATCGAGCAACTCACCTAACGTGGTGCCGGTACCGGTCAAATCTTGCGAAGCTACTGAAGCCGAGGGCGAGGACAACTGGAATTCGGGTACATTCTGCACAACTGATGGAATCCATCAAAATTCTCAAGGACTTTCAACACTGGAGATAAAACCCGCCATCTCTTTACCTGATATGGCAACTTGTCGTTCGATGTCGTCAGAAAAAAATTCATGCTATAATTCCAACCATGCTTTATTTGGAAATGGTAGTGAAATGGCAAATATAGTGACGCCTGGACTGTCTGCGTTGGGATTGCCAGTGGGAATGGCCACTGCATCAGCAATGGCGACCGCTTTACCATCTTTCCCAAGTGGTTCGCTAGAAGCAATGGCCATGGCGGCAGCACTGGCAAGTGGTCAGTGGAATCCGTTATCCCAACTATCGGTTACTAGCAGTTCGGTCAAATCACTTGGACCTTTTGCTGTTCCGCCTGTCTCAAGTATGACCACAACCTCCTTAGCAAGCATAAATTCAAACAATAATAATATGCCACGCAAATCACCGAACCAAATGCGCGTACTCTGTGACATTTGTAACAAGTGGATTTGCAATAAGTACTTCTTACGAACACACAAGGCCAATAAACATGGTCTCACAGATTCAGCTCAAACTCCACTGGACCTAGGGAAGTCGCAAGGCCTCCGTTCCCATTCCGGTGCTAAATCACCTTTGAACACACCACTTAAGCGGGAACTACCTCCTTTGAAAGAAATGACACATTTGGTCGAGCCGGAGGTCAACGGAGGTAACCAAGTTCAAAGATACGACAGTGAGTCCTCCGATTTCAGTTCTACCTCAATGAAGTCTGGGGCAACTGACCAAACTGGTGGAACCAAAGATGAGAATACTACGAATAAATCAGTTGATCCATTTGCCCAAGCTTGGAAATCTTACGGTGAACCCCGGACTATGCCGTCATTCTTCAACCAGCCATCACCGGGCTTTCTAACTTTCCCATTTCCTCTACCCGGTTTGCTTCCACCTGAATTGATAGCTCACCTACAAGCGATGGTTTCAGTAAATCCCATCATCGTTCCCCCGTGCTTTCCTGGAAGCGGCAGTTTTATGGAAAAGGACAACCAACCTTGTGCTACCAACGTGAACACGACGGACCGCATGGATGTTGACCGGGGATCACAAACTGATGGAGATGTTGAGGATGAAGGAATGATGGTAGAGACATATCAGCGGCAATCTCACGAGAGCAGAGTAAGTTGACTCAGACACATACCTCAAATATTGTCCTGAAATGCAAATTTACCTGACTGTGCACTTATCTATACCAGCGAGGTGTTGCAGGTATCCAGTTCTCAATAAGCCCATTCTGGGTGTCCCTTCGGTTAGCGCAGTGTTGAGTGTCAGTCTTTTTTGTGTGTTCACCAAGCACTGCGGTCTGGCTTGTGCTAATATACAGAAGGATTATGCCACATTTTTCTAAGTCCCATGTCAACATACCTTGTCTACTCAAGTACCGCCTCTCCAAAATACCATTTCACACTTGCTTTTCGGTAGCCCAGGAGTAGATTCCTTTAAAATCAACTCACATGCAACCTCCGAATATTTTACCAGAGATTTCACCCCTCTCAAATAATGTCATTCTCTTCATTAGTTTGTTCAGTTTTATTTAGTGCTGTGTGAAGGAATCAATTGATATAAAACAAGGTTCGCTTTAAAGGTCATCACCTGTCTCCTTACTGAGCAATCGGGAGGTGAAATCTGAAAGCACTATATATTACAAACGTGTATTACTATCGGAAAATGTTAGAAGATGAAGTTTAATCTAACTCACTTAGCCTGTACTATGCAGTCAAAAAGCGAGATTTATTGAAAATTGGTTAGTGTTCAATGTGAGGTTGCCAGAATATTCCAGTCGCGGTGGTGGCACTGTGGCATCTGAATAAAACATAATATGGCAGCTGAATCCTTTCTGAATTATCCCAGGGATTCTGACAGGTCTCCAAGTGATGCGCAATTTGTTCGGGAAGAAACTAAATGTTTGCTCTCAATCGACCGGATAGTTCAACAAAATGGTACGCCAAAATTCAAATAGATCACCATACTTCTATATTTAGTGCGGCACTTAAATAAAGTAAGGCTAACGTCGAGTATAAAATGACCAACAAAAGTGTATATCCCGTAGAATGAGCTAAATATTATGATGTTTGGACGCTGTTCTGAACTAGGAACTGTGGTGTACTTGAAGACGGTAAAGACTTCCTTAAAGAAATTAGTGTGGTAGCGGCGTTGAAATTTTTTGCGGAATACCATCAGCTCAATTGCTGTCTTTCCAAAAACAAACCGGATAGAGTTTTACACATTCACTCAGAGCATTTCCAACAGACAACTGCAAGTCAGTAGTTTGCTTTTATGGGGAACAACACTAGTGAATTCATGAACTGTGGTTGCTATGTCCTCATGTTTGGAGGAACCTTGTTAAATAAATTCATCTACAGCGGCTCCAGCTTTCACACACTGGCATTTTTGATTCTACAGAAATCCTACACTGTATCGATCAAAATCGTCCTGTTGCTCAGTCACCTTCCTGGACACCAAAAGTTGTGTCACTTGCTTTTCCTTACTTTGTTCCTTTTAAGGAACAATATATTAATTAACTAATATTATTATTAATAGTTCGTCTACCGATTGTTCCTAGTCATACAGTATGGCGAGTAAAGCTGTACTGTGGCTTATCAGTAGTGAAGCTTTATCACAGGAGCAGTTCTACTACAACGCAACACGAGCCTATTCTGCGTATAGTTATCGGTTATAGCCCGGCGGACAGCTCTCAACAAACAACTACATAATTGCCCACTGACCTCATACTTTCGGTTTTATACCATTTGCACAGGTTTGTGTACAGTGGCCTGTCAGGCTCCGCGCAAGTATATATATATATATATATATATATAATTGTTTCTTTGAACTCTGTCCCCTTATGTGCATGTAATCCCCGTTTTAAAGGATCCGCTAAACCTATCGCTCAAATACAAGACCAAAGAAACTGTGACGGCGTCCTCATCCAGTGGTTCGAAGGACGAGTTTGGGCTAAAACTGCGACCACAGAGTTGCAAATCCTCAATGAGTTTGGCGTTGAAGTATCTGCAACGGGCACGTGCCACGCAGCACTTCCGGATACAGTGGTTGCGCAGTGGAGTACCAAGCCAGAGGGGTCGAGCAACGTTCGTGTCATCCAAGTGGAAACGCGTAAAGGTTAGTTGTGTAAACTTGAGCACTTTTTTGACCGAAGTTAGAGGAGACGGTTTTATCTTATGTTGTCGGTGTTTTCATCCAACCAACCTGACATATTCCTCGTATTTATACACCAATATTTATGCACGGCGTCGTGAGGACTTGTTCCGTTCATCTGATATTCTTTCTTTCCTATGTACGTGTAAAGTTGAGTTCCGAACCACTTATTGATGCATGTACTGAATGTATTCAAGTATCGGGTTTGGACTGATGACCGATTGCTTTTGTTCTTAACTATATGTACTTGGCATATTCGACTTGGCTGAGATTTTGTGAAAGAAGAAGTAAAAATGCGGCCGGAAAACCTGGTAAATCAAGACTTTTACTTGTGTTGTACACCTGCATTCATGCATACAATCTTCAGACTCCACTGCTTTCAGCTTGCACCCTTCCACGTCAGTAAGTTAGATAGAGGAACCTGATTTACTCATTTTCGAACCCTGTCGGATTTTCGAATTCCGGCCTCTTGTTTATTAACCGGCATGGAAGAAACTACTGCCCGGTTAGAATAGGGTTTCGTTCTGTGTGTGATAAAATATTTCTCTCTGCCTAACTTGATAAAGTGAGCACATTTACAGTCCATTATACGAGAGTTATTATACACAGTTGCTATGACAGCCGCCGAAGAATGTGAGCAGATCACGCACACCGCTGACCACTGAACCCAACGCTGTTCGAATAATTGTGACGTTGTGATAGTTCTAACAACGCTAGCAGCAGTCTTTTGCTGTCACAGAGTTTCACTCTACGTTGCACAATTCACGGTTTGGCGGTCTCTGTAGAATTTGTATCCTTGGCTCAAGTGGACTGTTTTAATTTGAATGTGGTGATGCAATTCTCAGCAGTCGGCTACCTCCCCCCGTTGTGTGAGGCCGTTGCTATGGCCACCGCCGGTTTGAATTTTCTCATGCATCCACGTGAATTTCGTTAATGCATGCACGTGTGCATGCTTTAGGCGTGGAGGAGTGTGCCTACATTTAAGTTCCAAAATCAACAAAGTTTCGTTCACCTTTGTTGTCAACCAAAAATGCATTTTTGTCTTTACCTGGAGACCCACACCTTGTTCCTGTCTCCGTTAGTTTGATTTTACTGTTAGTCAAGAGAAAAAGTGGTCCCGTTTTTTCGGCTGATTTGCATCATCGTCAATCAGATAACGATGCGTCAGTATGAGTCCGGGAGCTGGACTCTACCTGGACCAACTTTGTACATAGCTTGCTACTGAGAAGCATGTTAGTAGCTCAGGTAACATGGCTTTTTTTTTCGCTGAGCTGGGTAATGCGATTACGAACGTTTCATAACCAATCGAAGTGATGTCGTTTGTACTTTGTTAAGAAGCCGAGTGGTGCATGGCTGAAGAGCCACCAACCCACCTCTGGGCTCTGATACGCTCCTTAACAAAGCAGTGATAGCGTCCCTTCGTTTGAAGGGACAATGTTCGTAATCAGATTACATTGGTAATGGAACAAACCAACGACCACATATGTGTAACCTTTGAATCTGGAGGTTGGCGATAACACGCCTAGTTGAAATATAGTTGTTCACCGTACTTTCAGTTTGAATCCATTTTGTGTATCACGTGATGTACAGTGGTCAGAGGAGTGTCTGACTGCCAAGTGTACAGCCATTTATCCTTATCAGGAACTGACCTATCACTGCATTGACACGCTCAATCACAAAGTTTACTTTGTTTCGCTGGGATTCCTCTTCAGACAGAATGAGGTAGCACCGTGGATTTGCTCTGAATTCAATTCTAGTCCCAGTGGAATGGACCGCAGTATAACTACAAATCCAACCATGCAACCCAAGATTTTTCGGTAAAACACTGCCAACATCACCGAACTCGGCATTGACACAATTCCCAGAATAATCAGGCTTTTTGCGATGAATTACTCTCTAGAACTGACCACAAAATTAACACGTCCAAACATCTAGCTCCTAAAAATCCTCTTTCAATTTCACCGCGACAAATCTCAGCCAAGCCGAGTGTTTCAATACATATATTTAAGAACAAAAGTAATTGAGAATCAGTCCGAACTTGATACTTGGATACATTCAGTATTTTGTAACTCTGTACGGAGAAATCAACATTTGTGTCTCGAACCATCGTCTTCCAGGTCCTCATAACTGCGGACTTTCGTGGGTTGCTGACTTTTGACAATAAAATCCACACGAGCTTTTCACCAATGGCACGGACATAATGGTGACTTCGTTGCTTCAAAGAGGTGTCTGAACACTTATGTCATCAGTTACTGAATTCGACTTTTTCGCTACTACGACCCTGTTAAGCCAGTCAGCAAGTACTTGCCAGCTGTGGCGTTCAGAGCATAGCAAACGTCATCCGTCAATCCAAGTTACTGTGTACTATTTCGTTTTACCACCCAACTACCATCTAGGTTCATATCACAGCAAGACACCGAATGGACCGCAGTATAACTACAAACCCAACCATGCAACCCAAGATTTTTCGGTAAAACACTGCCAACATCACCGAACTCGGCACTGACACAATTCCCAGAATAATCAGGCTTTTTGCGATGAATTACTCTCTAGAACTGACCACAAAATTAATACGTCCAAACATCTATCTCCTAAAAATCCTCTTTCACTTTCACCGCGACATATCTCAGCCAAGCCGAATGTTTCGATACATATATATAAAAACAAAGTAATCGAGAATCAGTCCGAACTTGATACTTGGATACACGTCCAAACATCTAGCTCCTAAAAATCCTCTTTCAATTTCACCGCGACAAATCTCAGCCAAGCCGAGTGTTTCAATACATATATTTAAGAACAAAAGTAATTGAGAATCAGTCCGAACTTGATACTTGGATACATTCAGTATTTTGTAACTCTGTACGGAGAAATCAACATTTGTGTCTCGAACCATCGTCTTCCAGGTCCTCATAACTGCGGACTTTCGTGGGTTGCTGACTTTCGACAATAAAATCCACACGAGCTTTTCACCAATGGCACGGACATAATGGTGACTTCGTTGCTTCAAAGAGGTGTCTGAACACTTATGTCATCAGTTACTGAATTCGACTTTTTCGCTACTACGACCCTGTTAAGCCAGTCAGCAAGTACTTGCCAGCTGTGGCGTTCAGAGCATAGCAAACGTCATCCGTCAATCCAAGTTACTGTGTACTATTTCGTTTTACCACCCAACTACCATCTAGGTTCATATCACAGCAAGACACCGAACTGACACACAGTGCAGCAGAATATTCCATTCCGACGAAGAGACGCACCTATCAGGTCTCTTAGGCAGCCTCTCTTATGGCACGAAACTATGTACCGTTGAAAGCTGACTAGCGCACCGAGCCGTGCATGATTTTTCAAGTTTTTAAGTTACGTTCTAGTTTCCGCCAAATGTAAAGAAACCTGCTGCTTAGAAAGGCGAATAAAGCTTGATACACTACTCACATTGTTGATCAAACCTCTTCAACAGCCCACGAAAGGTTTCACCCTACTTTGGGCTCGTCGGGTAGGCGCAGTGCCCGAGTTTACGTCAATCTTATGTTCTACTTGAACCCAAGTTGTTCGAAATTAGCGGAATACAGTCATTTGCTTGGGAACATCATAAACGAGAGAATCAGCTGAGTTGCAAAACAAAACAAAACCAAATTTGTTTGCAAATGAGTGCATTTCGATAATTTCGTACAATTTGGGTTCAAATAGCACATACGGTTGACAGAAACTCGAGGAATACGCCTACCCGATGAATCCCAAGAGGGATGAAACCGATCGTGCGCTGCTGAAGAGTTTTCTGCAACCTTATAAGCAGTGTATTATGCCTGTACATGTTCCGCGAGGCAGTGCATTAAGCCTGCACATGTTCCGCGATATCTCAAAAATCGTACTAATTGAAACATGAGGAGGCCTAATACAACACATTCAGTTACTTGAAAGCACCATAAAAGAGTGATTCAGCGGGTAAGTCTCTCGCAAAACCAAGTTTGTTTGCAAATATTGTGTTTCGCGAATAGAACTTATCGCATCTCACTCCGATATCAGGCATTAGGATTTTGTGAGCGTTTTGTTAAACTTTGAGAGCTGCCATCCAAGTTCTAGAGAGACACGGCCTCGGTCTGTTCTACGGTTTATCTGAAACTTATTGCTTCTCAGTCCGATGTCAGGCATTAAGATTTTGTGAGCGTTCTGTTAAACTTTGAGAGCCTCCATCCAAATTCTAGACAGAAACGGCCTCGGTCTGTTCTACGGTTTATCTGCATGCAATGAAAGACGGGAGCAATTCGTGTGTTGCGAAGAAAGGAACCTCTGCATATTCTATTCATTCATTCTGTAATGCAACTTCTGCGCTGTGTGAGCCTCAATGGAACCGGTTTGAAGCCACTTCTTGGATGAATGCGATAAGAGTAGTTTTTTTAGAATAACATGATGTTACTTTTGTCTTAAGCTTAGTGGGAAGAAGCTGTATTCGAACAGGAGAAAACGCGCTCATTCCCAAGCTAAGTTGGTGTTGATGGGATGATCGGTTGAATCCTGCCTCTTGGGTCAACTGGAACAATACTCATAAATATCGCACCAACGGTAAACCAAAGATGTTTGGTTGAAAGACCTTCATAAAGGAGAGGTATGGCTGAGAGTTTAGTGTTAGCGTAGACTTATTCTGAAAATGAGTGCATAGGTATGCCTTTGTACACTTTGGTGTTCAAGTGGGAATTCAGTTCACTGAACAGTAGCTTACCTTCTACACCTCAACATGCGCGAAATCGGCAATGGACTGTTTCGGTGTTCTCAACAGTCTTACAAGTAACGTTATTTTAAGAGAAAGTACGTTGAATCTGGAACGTTGTATAACCTGTCGTAAGCAGAATTAATTCGTCCACAAAGTAGGTATGTGGTATTCGAATATATTCAGTCTCATATTAAATTCCACCCCTCTGTCTTACGGTCTGTCAACGAAACGAATTCTTTACTCCCAGGTCCCTCTCAATGTTCAGCGATCCTTCCCACTTACGAACAACTCAGCCAAACTACCAGATACACGACAAAAGGTCCTGATTTTAACTCCCTACTTTTGAGGTGATTTAGTACTTTTGTTGACAATGAAAACTCATTGCAGCTTGTTACTGTCTTTGAGTAGCCCTTAAATGTTTGTTAACCATCTTCCGTAGTCAGAAACCAAAGTGAACATATGCGGGGCCCTTTATGCTCATTATTTAACATGAGTCTCATGAGCTTCTGGTTACAGACGGTTTTCACAGACGAAGGATTCATTTGAGTATGGTAGTAATATCTTGTTAAGTAGTTTATTGAAAAGCGTCACTACAGATCTGGTTACCTACGGATGGAATGATCCATCTCACTAACTGTTCGGAATACTCCATATGAATAAGCAACATTCGTCAGTTCATTAAGTTGGCAACCACTGGGTCTGGTGTGAAGGAATTCAAATGTGTCACTCGCTTCCATGTCTAAAACTTGCGTAAGTTTTCTCCATATTTAGCAGCGTGGAATTCAATTCACAGAATCATCTACGCAGCTAATCAACAAGCAGCAATGGGCAGTATGGGGTAAACTTTTCTGAATTGTCTCTATCTGAAAACAATCTCAAATGCAAACCAAACTTCCGGATGGGTTATTGTTCACTGAGGTGATATACTCGGCCTCGGCGTATAACCAACCTATTCACCATCCTTGTAAGCCAGAATCATGAACTTGAGTGAACTGATTGGAGCCAACACCACAAACAATTGATTCGACTAAACAAACAGCCCGACATCACCTGTATGACCGCTTTTTGTAAACAGAAACAGAAAAAATGAAAAGAAATCCAAGTGCTTTGGAGTGAATTTCGCCAGCTGTTTGCGTCCATAACCGTTTACAAACCATGAAGCATTTGTTATTTCCGTGAACACTAAAAACAAATGTGGAGCGCGCGAAATCTCACCAGTTGCGTGCTGTTTACTGTGCAAGAAAGAGCTTTCAGTTCTTTCATCACAAACGGTAGTTGTGAAGAGTGTATCAATAAATACGAGACAAACATGACTGAATTCTAAATGATCTCTTCGTTTCGCACACTGTGCAAGCAGACAAAGTTAGCTGGGTATGGTTTCGATAGTGTAGTGTTTTGTTTTCCAAGACGAATGGAAACCTCCAGAGTTTTGACTGAGAAGTTCGGTCAAACGTTTCGTTTGGAATAAATTAGCTGAACATACCCAATGATACTGAAGTACGGAAGCAGTCAATATTTTGTGGCAACTTTTTTTCACTCGTTTTCCATCTGTTTGCTCTATAGTTCTTTGGGGAACACATGTTTTTCTATGATATTTCTTACAAATTATAGTTCCTCTGTCTCCCGTTCCGTAGAACCAAAGTTGGAGAATAGTGAGAGCCAGCCCAAACAGGTGCATTTACGATAAATCAATAGACCTTACAATTTTTCCCTTTGTTACCACAAATCTTCTAGATCACGACTATTCCAGTTTGACTGCATTTAGCGTCTGGAGGCACATAATTTTGCCATTGTGTAAGCGGTCAATCCAGTGTTGACAAAATCATCCAAGAGTTCTGTTTTTGCACACAGAGTGCGTTTAACTTTATCATCCTATTCGTTGCATGAGGCTGTCTTTCACCGGGATGAACTTCCTGAAAAGGCTGACCGGAAGCAGCCCTACTCACGTAGGTTGCTTCTTCTGGAAGGTGAGCTACTCCTGCTTTGAATAACAATCCAAGGATTAACCAAAATGGTCATCTATGAGGGCGTTGTCTGCTGCCGGAGAGAACTGTTGACAGTGTTGCCGGTCATAGGATTTGAATATCTTATATGTTCACTTGGGTCTTCCAGTATGATTTGGGATGTCTGAGACGCGTCTGTAGTTTTTTATGTTCAAGCTTTTTGCCCATTGTAAAATGAAGGTTGGACATTGTGTTTGGATTTTGTACCAAGTGAGCTCAAATATAAAAATTATTCCCATCCCTTAACACTGTTAGCACTTGTACTCAACTCGCTTCACGCCCTTTGCTACAGCTCTTTTCGAACAATAATTGCTTTTGTGTCATCCGATACGCAAAGTTAAATCACTCCATATGTCAGCCTCATGACCTAAGGCTGAGACAAAGCCATGTGAAATTTGTGGTCCTCCATCTTGTACAACTCAGTCTCCAGAAACTGTCGGTATCTGGAGATGGAAATTGTCTATTCCCTACCTTTTATGGAGATATTGTAAGCCAACTCCTGAGGTTTCCAATCTGTTCACGAGAAGCTGTCATCCGAGTTCATCTCGTACCTGTGGGTACCGAAAGTGGGTAACTGTAAGTAAGGGTCTTTCGGCAAGAAGCAGCGTTAATATACAGTCGACCTGGATCGTTGTCGGCATGTCCGATTTTTCTATTTCCGTAGGATCTGATGTAAGATGTCGGTATTTTGCTGATCGTAACCTGAAGTCCTTCAAGAGAGTTGTCCGCCAGCTAGGAAAGACAGGTATATCAGCAATATCTGACCTGAACATTCATTTCATTGGTGTCGTTTTATGGTATCTTTTGAATGTTATTTCGTGGTCACTTACATTTCTAAGTAGGTCCCAAATTGTGCAGTATAAAGCTAGGACTGTTTAAATATCCGCAACAAATTTGCCGTGTCAGGTGAAGAACATGGTTTTATACAGATGAGGGTTTATAGAGATTCTGTGCAGCTATTAAAAGACGTATCACAATGGTAATGGTTTTCAAACGAAGGCAAAATAAGTGTTGTTAAATTTAAACGATTTCCTTTCTCGTTGGTAACGCAAGTCAACGCAGAAATATCTTTTATACTTCAGATGTTTTCCGGTGTTTCCTGCCATACAACCCAGTGGAGTCGTCCTAAGAGACCTCCAGCCGGCTTTCCTGCACTCAAACCAAAAACGGACAAATGGAACCAGAACGATCAGTTTCCGAGAAGCTGCAGCCTAAAAGTGTCAGAAAACATAAATTTTTCAGCCTCGGAAAATCGGGAGTTCCCAAAAATTGATACCAAGTTATGCTGCCCCATATGTGCCCCAAATCTATCCACTGATTTCACCACGTTAAATCAACTATTGCAACATCTGGCTCTGGTCCATGGCAGTCAAACTCCTCAGAAGCATTCACTTAAAGAGCATGATTCGACAGAACAACTTCAAGTCATCTGCACAAAGCAACAACAATGTGGATTCCAAGTCAGTGATTTGGCCAGTAGTTCATCACCAAATGGCACTTCGGTTGATTCAAATGGAAAGGCAAATCCCGGTAATTCTGTCACAGTAGACAGTCACGAGGATTATGACGCATCTCCCTGCGTTTTAAACACACCGCCTATATCTTCCGCTATTCCTGTAAAACAAACAGAAGAACTGCTTTCCCGATGTGTATTCCTTCCCGTAAGTTCGTATGCCGAGAGACAGTCCGCTGTATAAATATTTTACTCATCTGAGAATCAACTTCCCCGTAATTTTGTTCGAAGTTGCTTTTGCACTCGATAACACAATCGCGGCAGAACCCACACAGTGCTGTGAGACTACACCTGCAACTACCACCGAAAGAAGAATCAATTTCCCGTGTTGCACTTGCTTTTATCTGTCCACCTAACAACCACGATAACTTGATTTCATTTTATCAAATTTGTATATAGCAGCGTTTACTAATGTACACAATCCGGCGCTGATTAGAGTTCATCGAATGTCCAGATACACAAGTAAACGAATTATTATCGCACTTCCTTTTTTAAAATATAGAAGTCTAAAAAAATGAATTCCATTGGAGATATCTAAATGCAGTAGGCAGGTTCATCCAGTGGGAATAATGACTCTACTTGAGTACCCTATCCCTTGTACGGATAGGGTAACTCGAGGAAGTAGTATTGAAAAAAATTTCGCAATGAGGTGGAAGTGTATTAGACTTTTTGAGCCCCACATCAGGTGAATGTCCCCATCCAACTCACAAGAAGTCGTCTTTTATCCAAATTTCAGCTTGTTTATCGTCGGTAATTATTCGTACATTTGGGAGAACGCGACCTTGAACGAATTCGTTAATTGTTGCAAACCAGAAGTTGGTGACTAAAGTCCTTTTGCGGATGGTCTTGAGGAGGGTTGCAAGAGGACGTAAAGCGACTAATGATAGGCGTTTCTTAAAACAGTGATCCGCATATCTCATGCATGTGACAGTGTGCACGGAAGCTTACGTGTACGTTTTTATACAAAGAAAGTCAACAGATATCTTAATCTAAACACTAATCCGATGAGCTTATGGAAGTAAAGTTGGTGTAGAGATTTGATGCTCGTTTCATACTCTTCTGAGTTCATAAGCTGAAGGAGGGATGACGCCGACAAACGTGAAACTATCAACAACAATTTTCAAGTAGTATAACAGGTTCAACTCACGTTGTCCATACTGCTTGAGTACCTTGCTCAGGAAGGGGAGACTTTGAAGTAGGCTGTTTACCACTAGCTGCAATGTGGCAAACAGCGGTGTACTGCCAAATAATACTGCCAAAATAATAATAAAAGCAAGTTGAACCATGCTGGTATGATGAACTGAAAACGTTTCAAAATTTTGCAGTAATGCCAGAAGTACCTTTTTAGGAACGGCGTTACTCGAAGGTTGGATTTTCTTCTTTTGCATGTCGGATTTTTGCTTCTCAGTTCGGTCTTGTAGTTCGTTAATGAAAGCTGAAGTAAACTTTGTTGCGTGTCGGATTAGCTGACATTTAACTGGCGCAATGTTGCAGTGTGGATTGGTTGACTCTGTTGGTAAGCGCTTACACATCGGGACACCAGCAGGTCATTGACAACTTTGTAGTGTTCAGACAGATTTTAACTGAAGAAATTTTTTCACTATTTCCTTTGATTAGATGATTTTAAATGAAATACACCACATATTTAGCGACGGCTGAGAGACACGTTTACCGGAATTTGAGAAAAAACATGTACACTTAATCAGTTTGTCATAAACCCAGTCCAATCGCGAAAGTTAGCAAGCACAATTTTACTCTCTATAAAAGGACGAAATCTCCTTATGTATAAGAGTTTCAGTAGTTAATGACGCTTCTTTTAGTTCAGTGGACTACATTCACATTCCATTCAACCTCCGGAAAGAAGATGCCTGTACCGCATCCTCCTGGTCTGTTCAACTAGAACTTTTTCGTCTCACTTTACCCGGGATCTGACCTGAGATCTACTGCAACTTAGATGTTTCGTGTGCCTGCATACCTGAAACGGAAGTCATGAGTTGTTTGAGCTTTTTAGCAATCCATGCCCACACCTAGTCAAAATTCTGGCCTTTGAACACCGCATGCAAATGATACTTCTCTTTAAGCATATTTTTACTCAGGGATGGAAATTTTTATTAGGTTACCCTCAGAAATGACATTCTTTTGACACACAATCGAGATAGCAGGTTTTGTGTATGCCCTGAGTGAGCGTTTGTAAAGTCATTGAAAATACCACGGCAGTCCACATTATTCGTCTTGGCAACTGCCTGAATAGTTAAGATCAAAAATCTGCGCAGCACAGTGTAACACAAACAATTACTAAAGCGTTTAGGAAAATTTGCAGTACTTATTCGTGCTTGGAAGGCGAGTTGAACGGAAACCAGCACAAAAGATACCAACTGTTTCAGGTTCATTTCTTGTTGTTTAGCAAGAGAGAAAAACGACAATTTGAACACAATAGAGTTCTGGTACGTAGGCTTATTACGTTTTAGGCATAATAAGTAGGGTCTTAGACGGGCACAAATTATTCTTAAATACTCCTAAATCTCTCGCTTCCCTTTGGATGGAAGTATCTGACAAGACTGAAGACTGTGTTTGTGCAGCTCAGCTTTCCAACGTTTGCGTCACAAGCCCCCCTAATGCTTTCTGAAGAAATGTAATGTCTTCAAATGATGTGGTCTGTAGTGGCGCTGCAAGTCCTCTTTCTCAGCCTGGCGAAGTTTATCAATATTCAGAACTTAACCATCCGTTGGCACTACAAGTCGAAATATCCCAACACGCTGGATAAGATGTTTGTCTGTCCTGTGTCATCTATCTTCCCATTTAGACGGGGTTTTCTTGTGAATAATCAGGTTACGAACTTTATCTTTCTATCCCTCCACTAATCTGGACGGTTTTACCTGTAGACGACCTCAAACCATCAAAAAAAGACCAGTAACTCTGATAAAGGCTACTGAGTGAAATTCTTCGATAACGGATACAAGGTGCAGGGCTAGCATATATGGTTGTGGTAGAAAAACTGAGCCGCAGTTTGCAGATGATAGGCATTGCGGCTGGTAGTTACTTAGTACTTATAATGCCAAAATAGAAGGAAGTTTAAACACGTGATTATCTCACGTTGAGGTGTGCGCTGGGTTGATTATCGAGGATTACAATTATACAAAACTAAGCAAGAAAAACGAGCATTCTTGACTGCAGACTCAACTGAATCAAGCTAAATTTCTCGTTTATAATGGTCTTCTTCGTATGCAAAAGTGGTTATTTAGCTAATTTTGTCCAACATGAGTTAAAGAGAAACATAAGTGTGATGAAAACTTGGGGACTGCACACACTGCTGAATCTCATGAAGTACAAAAATTGCTGTTGGCTTTCGAAGGTTTTCAGCGACCTATTGAAAAGCATGTTGCGTTTCTGCTCCATTGATTAACTATTCGCTTTCCAATGTAGTCCAAAAATTACAAATAAGGGAGCATTCGAAAACCGATGGGCTCAAACACAAGTAACAAGAAGGATGTAATGAAAAAAGTAATAAAAATGGTTCAGACGAAGGGGTGGTTTTGATGGGCGTTAGAGGACCTTTTTGAGGCATTTTTAATGGATGGTTAATATGTACGGGTTCAAGTGTGCTTTTGTCCCATACATTTGCCACCAAAAGCAACTTCTGGCATCTTGTCCTCAGAAGATCGTTCTAGAGATGGTGCGTTCTCCTGTAAGCTGGTCTGGAGGGTCTGATATACTCATGCCATATACGTGTACAAGCTACACATTTTGTTTGGTTATGACAAAATGGTAACTGAATCATCAAGGACACACCAGTAGTTGAAATGGAGCGAAGTAGAGAAATTTTTATATCTTGTACTCTACTTTGCAACAGTTATCCTGCAATCAGTGTTCACTACCATCAGAATATCGGATATGAAGCATTTAGATGTCTAGAAGAATTCAACCTCTGAATTGAAGATATTCACGGGACATCAGTTAAGATTTAATCAATTTAGATGTAATACACTACTCATAAGGTTGCTGAAAATTCTTCGATAGACCACGACCGTTTCGCCTTTCTTGCGGTTCATCAGGTAGGCGCAGTCACCAAATTTCATTCAAACTTATGTTCTTCTTGAATCCAAAGTTCACAAAATTAGTGAAATACACTCATTTGCAAACAAATTTGTTTTTTCGATAGATTCACCTGGAACCTGGCTATCAAGTTGGTAAAACGTATCGGAAGATTGACGTGGTTGCTGAGGCCTGGGGAAGTAAAGAAGAAAGAGTTAGACTGGTTGAATTAGTCTGCATCAAGTTGTAAATAACAATTCAGAAGAGGAACTAGTTTGGCTGATAAAAATTGTTGAACAGTTTGTTGTCTGGCCTTGAGGAAATAGAGAATGGTTAGACAATACCGAAAGCAAAGCTGGGGGAACACTATGAAACCCGTACTGACCAACAGTTTAGTAATTAACGACTTAAGCTCTTAAAATTTTTCTAAATTTGTGCCAAGGTTGTCTCACTTAAGTCACAGTACACTCATTGTGATAACTGAAAACAGTAGCATGAGCACGATTGAAGGTACCGAAAAGTTTTGAAGGCAGACTACAGCACAATTCGTAATCAAATGGGGTCAACTGGCTTGAAACACGAGTAATTTATCGGCTAAAATTCTGCGGTACATCAAGCTTCTCCGCCACTGAACTATTGTTGCAAAACTATAGTGAGGGGATCGGAGTTCGCCCGACATCGTGCCATTTAGGAAAAACAGGTCAGCCAGTATCCTAATGCTTGAGAATGAGGCCCTTATCAAAGTTCGGATGGGTTTCATGTCGAAAATTAAAAAAGACCACACTTCTTTCGGCGACGAGTAGTTATTTCAAAGGGGTTTCTGTTTTAGTTGTCGGTAGATAGGGGAGTTGAGAATGAATTTGATCCAAGGGTTCGTGGCACATTCTGTATACAGTCTGAATGAATAAAAGCGCTTTCCACACTAATTACCATAGAACTGAAAGATTTCAGGGTGATTGGCTGTGTGCAAATAAGAGTACTTGGCAAACAACCTACTTAACGGTGAGCACAAGATTTCGCGTTCCGCCATACGGCCGTTCACGCAGTTCAGAGTATCTGGTTGCTATCCACAGTGTCGCTAAATAACACTTTGCCTTGAAAACAGTTGATCATGTA